GGTCTGCCCGGCGGGCAAGCCCGCCGACTCTTACAAGGCTTCTGCAACACCTTGTTGAACCAATAAAGCTCTCATCTTTACTCTCCATAGGCCGAAGTCATTCTTCCCATTGAATTTCTCAATGTCGAATTTGACGGAACTCATTGTCGTGGCTAGGATTTCTTCCAATGAATTCTACCTGCTGCCCTTCCAAGAACTTTTAACGCCTAGTTATCCAAGAAATTCTCACCAAATTTCTTACCTTCTCCCCGTGAACTCCACTGCCTTCGTCAACCGAGAGCTCTGATCCCTTCTGACAGAGATCACACCTGTTCACTGGAGAAAACTTCATGTTCTGTGCTCGCGCCTCCTTCTCGCAGGCACTCCGCTGCGTCCAGTGGAACAAATCAGGAATTCCTCCTCTGCCTCTTACACGAGAATAACTGCCTCTCCAGAGCCGCCACGCCTCGCCAAACTGCTCAGGTCCTCCTGCTTCGCGAACTCCCTGTACAGGGAACTCCCCAAACCCTTCTCTGTGCGATATCCCCTTCTTCCCTCTGGCCGAGCTGCTCACAAGACCGAACTCCTGCTTCCTGCTCCGAAATCCTCTGCTGGATCCTCTGCTGGCAGCCCTGTCGCAAATTTTCGGCCCTCACTCACGGACTGTTCCTCCTCCGTCTCGCTGAACTGCACAACCTGCGGTGCAAATCCAGTCGATCAAAGCTTCCACTGCTCACCGAATATGTCGCGATTCTGCTGCCTGCGACGCAATCTGCTTGCTCCTTTGTTCGTGAATGTCAAACTCCTCTTCTTCGTCGCTGGCCGCGAACACCTTTACGCGGACACCTCTAGCCAAGAAGTATGGATCTTCCCACAGACGGCGCCAATTTTTGTGAGATATGTACTTCCTGGCATAGAAATGAAACGCAAAGAACACAAACAAACACAAATTGTTTACGTGGTTCGATCTAACTGGATCTACGTCCACGGGAGGGAATCAATCAAATATTTCACTAACGCCAAAGAAATGAAGAATACATAGCTTATACATAGAGATGAGCCCTCATCTTCCTTCTATGACCTTCCTCTCAAGCGACACCTTGATACAAGGTCTCAAGATGCTCTCCTCTTCTCTAGCTCTTTCTCTAGCTCTCTAGCTAAGATCTCTTCCCTTTCTACTCCTTCGTGGTAGCTTAATGTCTCTTCCCTTGCTCTCCTAAGCCTCATACCCTCTCTATTTATAGAAGCAAGAGAGTGGTAGGTGGGAGGTAAGTGAGCGGTAGGTGAGCGGTACCACATTACAAAAGTGTCATTTTACCTTAGTTCATTAATTGAGGGTCAAAATAACACTTCTTTTGCCAACGGCAAACAATACATATTTGTACTACAAATTTCTCGGCATGGATTAACCAAATTACAAGCTTAAAATACTAAATAAATCACAAATTTTCTAACCACACTATCCTATAGAACGATCACAATCTTCATGCCTGTTCAATTTTCTCGCAACTCTCGCACGAACCTTCTCTACCGGAATGGCTCTGCAAAGCGTAGTGATGGGGATAAGGCAGTTGGCGAGAAGAGCTTCTTTACTCGTCAGCCGGTGCTCGTAGTACACAAGCGAAGGGATACTGCTGAGCACCTGAAACTCTATTTCGAAGAACTCCTCTCTATTCTCCTTCTGCTGATCTTCTTCTTCCTCGGCCATGCCTTCATTCGTAGGGCTTGGGTTTCAGATCTGTCTCCGATCCTTTTATATGCAGCTGAAGTAGGAAAAAAATCTTTCTTTTAACGAAACGAGAAATTATAAGTTGGATTTTGTTGTTTTTCAGAGCTTGTTAGTTTGCTAGGTTTGAAGTAGTTGGCTGAACTGGATTTGTTTTGAGTTTTGACTGCAGCGTTGAGGATTTTAGTAGGTTATCGGATTGGGATTTGTTGCTTGTTAGATTGGTTAAGTTGTGCGTGGCATTTGCATGGATTAAGGTAGGATTGGATATATCTAATTGCTTGATTTGCAATCAGCTAGGATTGATGTGTTACTCATAAGACTATATGTTTACAAATTATATGAATATTTACAGACATACCCCTCAATTTCAATGTATTTACATTATATATATATATATATATATAACACATTGATGTGTATCGATAGATTTTTATCAGCAAACATGAATCTCAATGTATTTCCAGTAAAAAACATTATAAATTCAAATTTAAGATCATTTGAGCCCCAATTTCAACAAATTATAAGCAAATTTAGTATTTCAGGAAAAAAAAAAAACCGAATGCCATTACTAAAAGAGATCTAATCCGAGTTCAAATACGTCTAGATCGAACTCTTAAAATATAGTCAAAAGCTAATTTGGTGCATTAATTAGACAGTCAAATGATCTCTAAATTTAGCATGTTTATAGTCAAATTGAGCATCTTTATAATGAGAATCTAATAAACACAATATTATTCAATTTTGATGTTATCAAGGTATTCAAATTTTAAAAAAATTAAATATGACTAAGAAAATTGGTTAAATTTACCAAAATTCATCTCTAAAAAACTATAAATAGACTCTCATTCTTTACTTAAAGAGAGGAAAAAGGAAAATAGAAGATGTTGAACTGACTATTAAACTTAACTCTTAAAGTCTTAACAGTTGTCGTCCGCCATCAAAGGTCATCGTTGACCACCATAAGTAATTGCTACAACAAACTACAACTATTATAGCAACTCACTACAGTTATTGTAGCCTGATTCATAGTTGTTGTAACCACATTATAGTTATAAAATTGTGATTGTCAGTTTTGGCAATCACATATTCCCCAATTCACAAGAAGAGTGAACGTCTGTATTTCTAATTAGACAGTTAATTAGTTTAATAGGGCTCGACCATGTTACTTTTTCTCTTCCTGGGATTTTTTCATGTAAGAAAATCCTGGTGTCTCATTCCATGACTTTTTTTTTATTTGTGTGTACGTTATTGAATTTTCGTGTATGCAACTAAAATTTTAATAGGGCTCGACGATGTTATATTATACTCTTCCTTCGTGAATTTTCTAGCATGCAACTAAAATTTTCATCGGTTGTTATCAGACTGTGACTAAATGTGATTATCTAAATTAATCAAACTTTCAATCATATACATATGTCGATATGGTTTGTTGATCATATTTTAATCTATAGGATTATTAATATTTTAAGGCTTAAAACTCTCATTAGTATTTCCATTAGTGGGAGCGGGTGATGCTCATATTAAATCTTGAAATTTATGTGGATTGATTCACTATCATTCCGATCAACCAATGGGAGGACCAACAAGCCTCACTTAAAATGATCAATGCTGCATTGTCTTCACTCCATATAGATTGAGAAAATTTTTTTATTTTTATAAAGTTTTTATGAGTCTTTTCATTTCATAAAAATATATGTAGAGTTTATTATTTTATTTTCAGAATTAATGTAAATGATTTCATTAACTTTTTTTCAATGTCCAAATTCCAAACTTAAAAGGCACGTATATTTATACTTTTATTTTATAGCTTCAATTTAAATCAATTATGTGATTTATTAGGCACTGCTGACTTAGAGGAACCATTAATTAGGCACTCGTAACTCAGATATTTTGAGACTCGGTTACAGCTATTTGAACAAGCGGTCGTGTAGAAGTTGTGCAGGCCGGATAGCTGCTGCAGGGAAATTGTGTGTTTGTTTATTTAGTTCAGTTGAGCAGCAGTTGTTTATGAAAAAAGATACATTTTTTTTCTTTGTATTGTTGTGTTGTTTGAAAGATGATCATTCCAAGCTTATTAACTCGTACATGAAAATAGAAAATACATTCAGAATTCTAAAAAAATCACAAGTTCAAATATTACATCTATGAGTGACTTCTCGCTTAGCAGTAACACAATAATCAAAATAAAAAATAAGTTGGATCCAATCATTCAAAACTATGGCTATCTTTGCGGCCTGCAAGTGAAAGAAAAAGAAAATATAGTGTTCTCTTCTTACGACATCAAATTTTGTAATTAGTTACTGCATGCACTAGTATTTCCTCCATGCCTTGTACATCACTTGCACCACCACCATCCATTCTGGAAGTTATGAAAGTGCTAAAGAAACTCTAGAAGTACAATATGATCTTTATTTCAAAATCAGTTGTTGTATAGTTGACGTGCAACTGAACTAATAAAATACATGCACTGTTTTACTGATAATTGCTTCCCCGCAGCAGCTTCTTTTGAATTTGATGCACAACAACTTCAAACATATATAATTGCTCCAAAGATACTAATGTTGAAAATAAGGAACAAAATAATAATCTTAAATCGTGAGTTCCAATTGATTTATTTCATAACATGTTCTAGAAGATATTGTCATATTCTACTTTGAACCTATATGAATGAATCTCCACCTTGAAAAAACTTTCGAGTAGTTACATTTTTATGCACTCATTTTATTAAAATAAAACATAAATGCGCGCACAAACACATGTAATTTTTAAGCATTGATAAATTTAATATTTATGTATATAAATATGCATAAAAAGATACATTTTTTTAAATAAATTAATATTAATAATATTTTGTTATAATTTAACTATTAAAATATTGTATGAGATCGTATAAATTTAAATATTAGAAATATAAATAAATACTAATAAAAAATTTATAACATGTTTGTAAAGCTTTCAAAATAAAAATAAAAAATATTAAGTTTCATACTTCTTATGTGACTGTTGCACAACTGTTTCTACAACTATTGCTCAACAGTTTCGTCAAATAGTTGAAACTGTCCCAAATAGAGCTTAAAATTCAAGAATTAATTTGTTTAATGTTGAAAATAAGGAACAAACCAATTTTTGTGAATTTATTTTATAACATGGTTTAGAAATTATTGTCAATATTCTACTTCAAATCTATACAAAAGAATTTCGATCTCAAGAAAATTAAGAATAAAAACTTTAAGTAATTACATTTTTATGCAACCTTTTATTAAAATATGACATAAATGTATACACACACACCTATAATTTTTAAGTATTCATAAATTTAATATTTACATAAAAAGATATATTTTATTATATAAATTAATATTAATAATATTTTGATGCAATTTAATTATTAAAATGTTATATGTGATCATAAAAATTTAAACATTAAAAATATAGCTAAATACGAATCAATAATCCACAACATGTATGTAAAGTTTCAAAAATAAAAAATAGAAAAAAATATTAATATATAAAAGAAGAATATATGTACACATACAACCCTTTATTTATATTTATGTATACATTTAGCATTTAAATTTCTATATTTATATATCTAGTACTATAATACGAGTCATTTACAAATTTATTAATGTTAATTTTCTAGCGAAATACTGATTTTCTTTCGAAAAATTGAGAGCCACACTCAACTTTATTCAAATAATATAGTTGATTATAATGATCAAATCAACCGAAAAAAATACATGGATAAAGAGAAAATATATTTTTTTATAAAAAGAAAAGAAAAACATGTGATATGGTCCTTAAAAAACAATTGAAACCCAGAGAAGAGTTGTAAAATGAGAAAGAGCTTAGGAAATCTAAGTAAGAAAGAAAGAGGGATTCCATCCATTTAATAGTTATAATATATCAAAGCAACAAATACCCACATAAATTGATGCAACAAAAAACAGCCATGTCACAAAGATGATGCATGCCGACATAAAATTCCTACAACGGTTACTCCTAATGCAGCATCTGAATATCATCATATTTAATATTTGTGAAATATCAATTCCACAACCATGAGATGTTGTGTGTGTGAAGTAGGTGCAGAGGGAAAAGGAATAACAAATAACATATTATTTCCATCTAGCGAGAGAAACCTCCAATATGTATGATATAATTCTGCAAACAAACTATTAATATCACACAACACCTCCATGGAATGAATAGGGGAACTTCAATTCCATTACAGCACTGAAGTCAAATGAAATTGATCCAACCATAAACAAATAATTAGGAACCAATCAAAGTTGCAACATAAGAAAGAAAAATCCAGAGAGAAGAATAGAAATGACATCTAGAATCCAAAATGAATAAATATTGGCGAGAATAAGCAAAGCAAAAGTTTAAAACACTTGTTATGGTATGACTCATATATCATATAAGGACAGACGTTGTATCTAAGCGGAGCGGAAGAATCTGTTCAAATTGGGAAATTACGTGGGTTGGGGTGCGGGGGCAAAGCCCCGCGGTATGGTACAAGGGTAATGCTGTAGTTACATATTGTACGTAGGATTTGCTCCCGGGGTTATAAATAGGTCTGTTAGTAACCCCATGAGGGTTAAATTGTTTTAACTATGACTATGAAAGGATTACAATTTAGAACATTGTTCCCTGATTTCTGTAAACCCTATTCTGAATAGTGAAAAGAACTCGTTGCTCTGCTCCCGAGGACGTAGGCATCTTTGCCGAACCTCGTTAAATCTCTGTGTTCTTCTGGATTTGTGTCGATTACTGTTTTTCTTCGCCCTAATTTTCTCAACAATACTTAAAATTTTAAAGCTTATAAAGATCACTAATAGTGCCAACATTATCTTTTTTTAATTCCATCTTTTACTTTTGTGCTTGATAATCAAGTGAATATTTTGGATGACAACATCAATGGGATTAGAAGAATTCTTAAAAATTTTACAATTCTTCTCATACCAATAGTAAGCAATAGATTGAACATCCAATAAGTGGAACTTTTTATATATTTTGCAAGTGAAATGAAAGAGTTGTTGCAAGGAATACAATTTTTAAGCATATCATAAGAAAAGCGACATTAAAAAAAGTAGGCATGAGATTCCATACCCTCCAAGCAAAGAACATAGCTAATATTAATTGTGATACATCTTCTGCTAAGCACATCAAGAGTATTCAAATCAACCTGAACATATTTATGAACATGTAAAACCAACTAGCATTTTGAACCAAACAAGTCCACCCCTTTCTTTGTTGAAAATTCTCGTGCACAAAATGGTATGCAACTTTATGCGAATAATAACAATTGACATGAAATAAAATCGTCAATAATAGGAATGTGACAAGCAGTTTAGATACAATGATCAAGAACCATTAACTGGTTCTCAAAAAATTAAATCAAACAAAAAGTAAATCCTCAAACTTCTCCTATAAGAAGAGCTACACAACCAAGGCTCATAATAGACAAAGAGTCTGCTATTACGAGTCACCCGAAAAAGATAAATAACTCTAATTTTAATAACAACTTTAATAAGATCATTCCGAAAAGTTGAAATATTGAGCCTAGTATTAAGCAAAATAGAGCCATAGTGAGTGCAACATCATTTAGATACTTATGAATCCGAATCGTAGTGCCTTCAATTTAACTTAAATTTACCCATCTTATGTCAATCCCACTTTCAATTGGATGATTTAATAACTTACACCCAGATAATTCAATGCAATAATTTATAAATAAAATCACTAAAATTACAAAATTGCAATTTTATTTTTCATTACCAAATCTTCATTTGAAATGATAAAAATTCACTCAAATATAATATGACATGTAAAACCGCCTCCACTTTGGGAGAACTGACGACTTCATCGCTCTATGGTTCCTCGGGTTCGACACACTACCGGCATTATCCGCCAAAAGGCCCCTTTTAATGGCGGCCGCAGCGCCCGATGAGCTGCGGATCACTGCCAGTTTCCAAGAGATGCCCGTCGTAGGAGTCGGTGTATCGCCGCCGGTTGCGGTGGCGGCTTGTATGGTCATGGCGCTCGGCTATGTCCTGGTTCTCTACGTTCCAACGGCGGTCCTCCGTCTCTCTCCACCGGCGTCACTTGAATCCTTCTTAATCCGGAGGTTCATCTGCGCCCTAGTCTTCTCCGCCATTTCTGCTCTAGCTTCGGCTGCCCTCCTCGGGGTAAGCTCTCCATTGCGACCTCCCTATTTTCCATTTCTTAAGCTGTTTCTTTGCAGGATTTAACCAAGATTTAGCCAAGATTTCTTGACGAATAGTTTATTGAGCAACCTGCCTCATTCTTAAACAAACGGAACTTATTTTCTCTTCAAATTCTTTTGTCAGGTCGGGAGAGACATGGACATCTCTGTTATGCTGAGCTTTTTCGGCATTAGAAAAGACCACATGGTAATGTACCGATCTCTCGTGAAAGCTTAGATTATGTGATAATTAGAAGGTGCTGACATTTACGAGAGCTCTGTGTAACATTGCGCAGTGGCAAGCCGTGGTGTTTCCTCTTTTGCTGGCTTCTCTATTGTACGCTGGTTCTTTGGCGTCGAAGTTGCTGTTGGTTGTCTATGCTCGAAGAGAACGTGAGGGTAATTCTTGGCGAAAACCGGGTTTGTGCAAGATTTTTTCAGTTGTTGTTCGAAGCTTGTTAGAAAATGCATTGGCCTCCGCTCACAATGTGGTGGCTTGGCGTAATTATGTGGTGGTGAGTGTCACTTACTCTTGATTTGTCCGTTGATTTTCGTTCCGAGCAATGTCTTTTCTATCTTTCAAACACTTAGGAAAAAGGCACAGCATGATTAATTGTATATATTTTTCTTGGCTGCACGGCTTATTTTGTCTGAAGAAGTTTAGGGCTTAGGGTTAATGCAAATTTCCTATGGATTTTGTGTCCGAATGTTGCTACAAGTTTTAATAGAACTGAGAGGCATGCATATTTCATTTGGCAATGCTAAATCATACCGTTTTTTAAACAAATACTGTACTTGATTTAGTTGATTGGCACTATTGACACTTATATAATACAATGCTATATAAATATCCAAGTAAAATCATTAGTAAGCAAAATGAGATGTATACAGAAAACTGAGGTTAACTTGTCAGAGAAATTGAATTGATTCTGATTATACTGAGGTTCATTACTAGAATTTTTATTATTTATAATTCATGTTTAATTAAATTAGCTACTACTTTTCATACCAAGCTTGGATGCTAGATGCTGAATTGTTTATGTTGGATTGACGGTTTATAAAAATTTCCATTCTAACATATTTGAAATGAAATAAGTGTTAATAGTTTGGACAATGCTATGGTTGATGGTGGGCTGTTAAAGTTACAAGTTTAAGCTTATGTCAGATTGGTATTCAAGCATGCCATATGTAAGCATGATATATATCTAAATTATATAGTAGCAATATTGGTATATGGGCAATGCTGTTTACGGCCTTTTTGGTTAGGTGTATTTGGTGTGCAAAGTAATGGGCTTTAAATTTTGAGGTAAAACAAATCCTAAAGATTTTTTCTTAAGAATTTAGAGTCCCAAGAAGGATCTTTTTTGGCAAATTCCAAGATCATCATAATTGGGAGGTTTTAAACGCACCATCCTCGCTGGCTCTCAAGCAATCCCTACATTGTAAGCGTACGTGAACCCCCTATCCCGTGAGATGTCAGCATTGTACAATCAACCAAACAAATATACTAAATCAAAATGAATTGTGTTTAATTCATACTGCATTCTTAAAATATATGAATTTTAAATACTTGCAATGTTGTGGAAATAGTATGAATAATACGTATGGCTTATAGGTTTTTATCACTTTATCCAAGGCCGTGGTTACAGAAACAATGGACTTGTGTTTCCACAATTCATCATTCATCAATGAGATGTAGCTATTTTAAACCTTGTTCTGTATTTTTAGTAACATTCTAGGAATAGATGCTTTCATTTGATGCTTGTTTTGAAGAAAACTTTAAAAAATTGATGCAAGTTTCATTCCAGAATATATTTAAATAAAAAATGCCAAATTTTGATTATATAAGACATTTTAAAAATATCAATGTGTTCCATTCTGCTATGAACATCTGAGAAAGCTTTTTCGTCATATTTAAACATGTCTTACAGTAAATATTGCACGCTATATGTGATTACAACAATCCGTTGCTGAATGATGATTTCTTATTCAAGATGACAACATTCTAGGATTGGGTGATTTCAATTGTTGCTTGTTTGAAAAAAATTAAAAATTTAATGAAAATTTCTTTTCAGAAGATATTTATATACAAATTAAAGCCAAAATTTGATTATATAATGCATATTTAAAATATTAATATAGTCCATTTAGGTATGAACACCATAAAACACTCCTTCATGATTTTTAAACCTATGACTAGCGTTATATATTACACACTATATGTGATGACAATAATTCTTTGCTGAATGAGGAGTTACTGCTCAAGAGTTAATTGGCCATCATTTAGTTATGTTCCTAGTTGTTCATATTAATTATTCCAACATGTACTGGAATACTAATTTTTATCATTTTTTTTCTATTTTTCTGTTTTAATAATGCATATTATCTATTTGACAGGCTCCATTTACTGAGGAGTTGGTGTTCAGGGCGTGCATGATACCATTGCTTCTTTGTAGTGGATTTCGGATTCAGACCATCATATTTATAGGTCCAGTTTCCTTTAGTTTAGGTAATTAGGTATTTACTACTTAACTTCAAGGTTTCACATTTAAATTTTATTTTCTTTTGATTTCATTGTAGGTTGCTCAAAATTGTTCATGAATGTATGATTCTTTAGAAGTGAGGATTTTTATTTATTTATTATTATTATTATTTTTTTGATAAGCTTCAATATCTTTCAGAACTTAGAATACGAGTTATCTATTTATTGTTCTAAACGAGAACATAGTGCATGGATTTATTTTTCAATGCTTTAATTTTTTTTCTAGTGATTAATCAAATGTCTCAAATTTATTGAATTTTTAAGGTACTTTAAAAAAAGTTGAAACGAGCGACCTAAAAATATTGAGCACAATCAATGCAACTCAATTTAATTCAAACTTGAGGTTTTTTTTTAATCATTAGTGTTGTGCCCCCATTAAAAGTTATTCCTGGCTCTGCCCTTGGTGCTTGCCTAAAAAAACTTTACTTGATGGCCAAACACTAACGAGCTTTAGAAGAATATGAATATTGAAAGAGAAGGAGAGGACATGGATTCGAGTGATGGAAGAGTTTAGGTTTGAAAATCTCTCCAACCAACTCTACAATGACCACCTACCCGACTTTTTGTTTGACTAATATGTTTTCAAAGAGATGCGGTTTTAAAAATTTTGGTGGCTATTGGTCGGTTCTCAATTTTTCTCAAGGAATGAAAATCAAACTTAATTGTTTGTCTTTATACCATTTGCACCCTTGAGCTTACAACCTGATTACATAATGCATGCCCCACATCTGCAATATTTACTGTAGTTGTTCTTGAATGGATCACTTAGTTGAGATTGTGCCTCTTACACTCAGAAGAATCGTATTCCGCAAAAGCTGAGGCAAAAGTTTAGCCTCGCTATGCTCATACTTTCAATAAAGTTGGCATAATATCTTCATGAATCAGATCTATTGGGTATAATATCTACTTGAATGAGGAGTACATTTTAGGAGTTCTGAATATTGATGAAGTCTTGCATTCATGATGCTACTTTTCTGTCTTGATTCAGTGGATTTTTGGTAGGTGGAAGCCACATGTTAACTCTTGGGGCTTTCTGTATTCTCATTTTGAAGTACGGATCATTGCTCTGTTTGCTTGAATCTGTTGCTTACGAATTTTTGCATTCTTGAGCTCTTAGATTTCTCCTGGATCCGGTGGTCATATCATGTCAGCTTTTAGAATCTGCCACATCAGGGGTGACTAATCTGATTTTTTAATATTATGTTTTAAATTTCGTTTTGTTGCAGCACACTTAAACCATTTTATGGAGCTTTATTATCCGAAGAGACGCAACTTTTTAAAAGCTTGCTCAATCGTAGGTATTTTTTTCATTCTTTAGTTTTTTTTTTCAGTTACATAATCATATTCATCAGCATTAGCCAGCCATTTATCTAATCAACATCTGTTATTGGTGCTATCCTAATCAGTCTTACTAGCTTGTTTAAGCTTCATTTTTCAATAAATAATTACATTTTTGTTTGTCTTTCACCTTCTCAAAAGAAATCTTCTGCTGTTATTCACCTCAGTTGCTAAAAGTTATTCAAATTGTAAACTGCTGACCCTAAAAATGAAATGAAAAAGAGAAGGGAAATAAAAAAAAAATGTTATGTTAATAAAAATTAAATTAATTAACTCAAAACCTTACCTGTTCCCGCCAAAGATGGCCGCGTAGACTTCAATAACTATTCCCACTCCTCTCGGTTACAAATGAAGGGCGTCTCTGGTTTTTCCTCTCCTTCACCTTGGTTGCTCCTCTCGGTCGCACTTGAAGCTTCTTCCTTCTGCAGCGCACGAAGTCCTAGCCCTCTTCAATTCGCCTCCCACGTACGACATCACCGCAGGAACCACAACCGTGCCTACCCTTCCTTGTTGATCTCTCTGCCCCAGCCCTCTGCCGCATTTTACCACACTATCCCTCTCACATTTTGTCGTCTTCTTTTATTCACAAAATTGAAATCTTCCTTCCTTGTTCATAAAAACCTACATCTATTCCAAACTGCACGAAGCCCTTTCTTCTTCTCCACTGTTTCTCTTCACTTCATCTCCTTCCTCCTATTCAAAGCCTTTCGAAATCCCTTTACGCTGCCTTCTCTCATCATTGTTTCCCCAAATTCCTTTCTACCTCCGTTGTTCTTCCTTGCTGAGCTCTGCACTCAAATTCTTCTGTCAAGCCTCCCTATGTCGCAATCCCTTCCGTCTTCCTCAACCCGTGAAGCCCTTGCCGCACTGTTGCAGACCTCATTGCCTTCCTCGCTCCTTCCCTGTGTGTTCCCTGTGCCCGAAACCTTTGCGGTACAATCACAATTAGACTGTCAGAAAACAACTCTGGGATTGCGGCGTGCGAGGACCACTGAAACTCCACACTTTTTCCTCCCTGTTGCTCTTCCCAAATCGAAGCCACCAAGGCCTACCTCCTCCGCTTCTTTGTTCTGTCTAAACTCAACCAAGTCCCTTTCCTTTTTGTTCGAGCCCGAGCGTCTGACCAAACCCGAGCATAGCCGAAAATGAGTTGAATTCATCCTGCTTATTTTTACTGTTTATTTTATTTTTAGTATTGTTGTTCATTGTAAAATCTCTTTGTTGTATTTATTTATTTCATTATTCGTTGCCGTTATTATGGATCATCACCGTCAACACTGTGGAAGCTCGAAAAGGTATAATGAAATGGGTCGATAGGGCAAATTTTTAAAATGTTCATTTGAGGAAATACAAGTACTCGTCCTTAGGAATTAAGTACCGTTCGGGGAAAATCACAGACTCGGCTAGAAACTTTTTATAAAATCAGGGGTTTTCAAATACTCATCCTTGAGAAACTCAAGTACACGTCCCTAGGAATCAAATACCGTCCGGGAGAACTAAAGTATTGCTTGGGGAATACAAGTTTTTAAGTTAACACTTTTTGCAGATTCATTGAAGGTTTGTTGCATCTTTTAAGATTACGAGTTAAATATGTATTTTTGCTTCTCGGCCGCAGGGTCTTACGATGCTGACCAGCGAGCCTTTTAGGATTGTTGGGAATGCCGGTTGAAAGGACTGAATGCCGACATTCTTTTGATGTCCCCTGACGGGGGTTGACATCGGGAGACTACGAGGATTTCAGGTTATTTGGACTTGTAAACCACTTAAAATCCTGGATTTTTGAACTTGTGAAATAATAAAAAAAGATAAATATAAATCATTTGAATTTTAAAATAATTTGAAATTTCTGTGCTTCTAAAATTTTTTAAACTCCTAGGGTTTAAAAATATATGGGATTTGAGCTATTAAAACATAGGCTCTTAAGGTTTTAATATATATATATATATATATATATATATATATATATT